CCTTGTCTAAAACCTTTTCTTCTTGGGAAGGATTCATAAGCCTAAATGTAGCAGTTTTCCTGTGCGCTTTTGAGAGGGTCCTGCCACCTGCTACTTCAGAATGAGCAGTGAGGGAGGCAATTGGTTCAATGAGGATGAGGGAATCATCTTTTGCCTCAGGCAGTTTTACCTTAAAATGAATTTCACTCTGAGGGGGGCATATAAATTTGATCTATTGTTTTTGCTAGTCCACAAATTTCTTGAACTGCAGTGGCAATGAAATTGATGTATTGCCTATCTGAGGTGCTGTTGCCTATTATGAGGGAATGGCAGCTATAATCTAAGACTGCATCATTGTCATTGAGGAAGTTTTCACCTAGTAGGACTGACTGTGGTAATGAGGGCAGGATATAGAATTGCTGTGAAAATTCCTGATCTTCAATGACAAAATCTAACACAACTGAACCCAACACTTTGTGCAATTCGCCGCCAACACCTTGAATGTGTGGAAAAGGTGAGTTTCCAAGTACAGGGTTGTTGAAAGCTTTGTTTAGAAAAGCAAACGAAATGCAGCAAATGGATGCCCCTGTATCTATTAAACAAGTTGTTGTTTCAGTGCCAAATGTTACCTGAATTACACTTTTGGCAAGGGGCGTAACTAAGGACACAGTTGGAATTTCACTTGCAAAGTTACTTTCCATACCAGACTCCATATTGGCCATGACACCTTATAGTATGTACCGTACTATAATTAAGAAAGACAAGAAATCAACAATGTAAAGTAGTACTTACAATTTTTGAAGACTTTTTCTTCTTTGGTTGGTGACTTTAAGAGTTGGTGGTCCTTAATCCAGTGCTGAGATCAGAGGTGGATGCAGTCTCTTGTTATTCCATATGTTCTTGTTACTGGTTGTAGTTAGTTCCTGGGCTCCGAGGTTCCGAAAATCGTTGATTCTCCGCCAACTATTATGGTAAGGGTCTCGGGTCCAAGTGATGGTTCCGGGTGAAACCCCTTATCTAACTGGCGTGCTGGTCTGCTTGGGGGAATTAGCTCAGCAAAGAGTCCGAAGTCACAAGAGGCTAATTACAGTTTTATTAACAAGAACAAAAATAACATGGGGTGGCCACAGAGAGTCGGTACAACCCTCTGGGCTGAGGGTTAGAGATGACCAGTGTTGGGAGTCTAAACCCTACTGACTAACAAATGGAGTTGGTGACTATTTATCTAAAATTGAAACAATAAAAAAGATTCCTTGAATGATACAAAATGGGTGTTCCCTATATTAACCAATGAAATACAGAATATGCGGTATGGGGTGTGTCCTACAAATGAAATGACCAGACAGGGAGAGTACTTAATCCTACTAATCCTATTTCAACTGGCACTAATTGTGTTGACACATGTCCTGGAAGCTTCCTAATTTAACTGGCACTAATTGTGCTGACATGTTGCTTGGATAGTTATGGTGTTACAATAGATGGCTTAATGACCCTAATTTAAAGTGTTTGCACAATATATTTTAATGGAGGTGATGACATGTTTACTTTATCAAAGCAGTTCATTAAATCGTCTAGACATTACTTTGTCTTACTGAAAGGTTTGAGTCCTTGAAACCTTGGGCTAGGATTTATCTTGAACATCTGTGATATTGTAACTTATATCTTTTCAATAGTATGTCTGTGAGATGAGTTATACTACTTTTGACTGGAGTCTTTCTCTAAGCTATTACAGATACATGATGAACTAAATATATTCTATATTTTATATTTTCCTAATATCTGAATCCTAATATATCGCTTGTAGTGGTTATAATTAATAATGAATTTTCGTATGAATTATTATTCCATGATAGCAATATGAATTAATTTCAAATACTTTACTGTTAGAAGACTTATTTGTAATGTGTTCTTCTGGAACAGTTTTATTAAGTTACTTTTATGCATAAAATACTTCAATTTATAATTGCTTCAAATAATTCTGAAATTATTTTTACTTAAAATACAACATAATGACAATATTTGCAGTATATGAAAAAGCATTACACTTATTGTGTTTTTTGACTGGTGTTATGAGACACTTGATTCTCGGAGAATTCTACCTCAGTTAACCACTAAGACCCACTTTATTTGTAGCCCATTGTGTTGAGGAGACTTCAGGCCTAATTCCTTTTGTTGGTCTGTAAAGGGGATTTTAGGGGTATGTTGTTATGTTAATTTGTGTGGAGGATAGTTAAGGGCTATATTGTTACATGTATTTGTGGGGAGGAGATTCCATGGCTTTATCACTGTGTGAGAGAATACATATGCGGTTTGAATGAGAGAAGATACCTAACAGAGTCAAATGATTTATGGCATATTGACTTTGGCAATTTGCTGATACTAGTATTTGCTTGACATGAAGTCATTGCAAGGTGTGTTTCTAGTGGTAAACTTTTCCATTAAGAGGCACACCTTTACCTAGGGGTGGGACTCTCACAGGAGAGCATGTCAGGTCTATTATTGCTACTGTTGGAACATTTTATACTTTTAGATGTTAATAAAAATATATTAACTTACAATTCTGCATAAAATTTGGATTTACTTTAAAACATGTCATGCCAATTACCATGTTGATTCTGGATTAACTGTACAATGTGGACATTCCATAGAATGTTGCTTTTCTTCAGAATGGAGACATGCCACATATAATTTGGATTTTTGGCGGGATTGTCATATAATATTTTACTCTGCCTATACCGTGTAGAAACTGGATTATCATTTACTAAGGACCATATAATTGACAAAATAAGGTATGCTGCATATCTTTTAGAATAGAAATGTTTCTTCCAACGCTCAGATAATCTTCTATGGACATTGAGGGACGGTGGGGTAGCCTAGTGGTTAAAGCGTTCGCTCGTCAAACTGAAGACCCGGGTTTGATTCCCCACATGGGTACAATGTGTGAAGCCCATTTCTGGTGTCCCCAGCTGTGATGTTGCTGGAATATTGCTAAAAGCGGCGTAAAACCAAACTCACTCACTCACTCACTCTAAGGACATATGGACAGAGCACTTGACTTCTAGGTTTGATTCTCCATGTCAGATATATAATCTCAGACAATAGTGTGCTTTGAAATGCCTGCACCATCGATGTCGAAGGAGTGCCATCATTTGCCAACATTCTTCTCAGTGCACTCTGTGACTGAACTGCAGCATGCATTTTCATGTATGCATTACATATATGCCATTGTTTGGGATTAATATCCTGGTTTCAGACGAATACAGGGATGTCATGCAAATACTATTCACCTTGGAACTGATTATTTCAATATAAACTTTAACAAGCCTTTGTATAAGTTCTTAAATATTGCATAATAATCAAGAGAAGTTGAAAACCACCACAATAGTTGGTCATTAATGTCATGATAAACAACTACAGTAGTATAAGGTGGTGGTGGAATTGGGTTTAACGTCGTGCTTGAGAATATTTCGCTCATATGACGACGTGTGTGCATGTGTATGTGTATGTGCGGCTGCTTGTACTAGCCCAGACTGAAGCTGTGTTTTTTTATAGTGCTAGCCCACTGAGATACCATGCCGCAGTGAAGCATGAATACCCCACTAAGACACATTATACTGACTCTGAGCTGACCAGTCCTTGTTGTACCCATTAGTGCCAAGCGCCAGGCAGGGACAAGTACCATATTTGGTATGACGCGGTCGGGGATCGAACCCGCGACCTTCCACACTCCGGGCGGACGCTCTAACCACTACACCACGGAGGCGGTCACAGTAGTATGAAATGTATAGGTGGTGTTTGACCTCATTTCAGTAGTCAGTATATAGCTTGATAATAGTCTGAACAACCAGATTTCTTATGAAGCCTTGAGAAGTGTGCATGTAATATTCTAGATAAATAATCTTGATCATAGCCCATTGTTAAATGAAATGAACTTGATGCAATATGCTTAATTCAACAACTGAGAAGTACGCTTCAAATTACAATCATCACCTGATACAATAAGAACCAGAATAATTTGTCATCAAGGTGTTTCCTGGGAAATCAATCAAATATATATTTCTAATCATTTATTCAGCAATAGAATCTGCTATCATTTGACCATCTCTTTCACATCAATATATTCATAACGTTATTACATATTATCATTAGATAATAGACAATCCATATCTGTAAAAAAAAAACAATAAAATATGTTATCATTTATTCAGCAATAAATTCTGTTATCATTCTGACCATCTGTATATTCATGGCGCTATTACAAATTATCATTGGATCATTGCTGCAGTATATTACAAACATTGAATTTGTCAAATCACATGTATTTTCTTCAGGTACAATTTCCCTTTTTAAGCAAGAATTGTACAGTTCATTAGTTACAAGTGGGTACAGATTATCCAACATTTGTGTACAAGTCTGCCAACAATTTCAATACTGATCTCCGTTGGTACCGAACTTACAGTTCCCCTTTCTACAGATGATGTTACAAATGGAATGTACTTTTAAGGGACTAAGCAATTTGTTGTCAAGGGCTTGGATTCTCCGTTCTTTAATGCTTCAAGGAGACATAGGCTCGGCCCTGTTATGTTTCTAGTTTCAACAAAAACGATCACATCACTTAGGGCTTTCATCCCACATTGAGCTGACATGCTAGGATATAACTATAATACTGTTAAAACAGGCGTACAAACAATATCATTCATTTCTTGTCTCTGACAGGAGGAGATCAAATCATTTTTGTGGTAAAACTTAAGTTTAAATTAGCTGTTTCCATTTTCTTTCATTGAAGCAATTAAACCTACCCACCCACACACCCATCATTTATTAGACAGTGTGGTTAAGATGAAGGTGTTTAAACTCTGGACCACAATGTGATCATGAAAGTGTCACTTTCATAAGTCTGTGTCGGACGCACAAAGTGCTTCCAATGCTGTGGATACGTACCTTCAAAGTGAAAATACATGTGGATTGAACCTCTTAATGAAACAATGACAAAAAGGTAATATTATGTCCTTTTATTTCAGTTTTGATGTGGAGAATGGTGCAGCCCCTGGCAGGAGTCCCCTGGAGGGTGGGGGGAGCCCGTCATCAGGGCTGGTCCTGCAGAACCTCCCCAAGCGCCGGGAGTCCTTCCTGTACCGATCTGACTCCGACTATGAGCTGTCTCCCAAGTCCATGTCCCGCCACTCCTCTATGCAGGGAACAGAACCTGTGTGAGTAGACACTCCTTGACACTCTTGGACACTTATAGATGCCCTTAGACTCTCTTACACATGCTTAGACACTCGTCATGCTCTTATGGCCACTTTTGGCAGTCTAAAGCCACTTGTGACATGTTGGTCACAGTGCTTGTTGGCCACTTGTGATATGTTGGTCACAGTGCTTGTTGGCCACTTGTGAGTCAATCAGAGTGCTTGTTGGCCACTTGTAACATGTCAATCAAAGTGCTTGTTGGCCACTTGTAACATGTCAATCAAAGTGCTTGTTGGCCACTTGTGACATGTCAATCAAAGTGCTTGTTGGCCACTTGTAACATGTCAATCAAAGTGCTTGTTGGCCACTTGTAACATGTCAATCAAAGTGCTTGTTGGCCACTTGTGACATGTCAATCAAAGTGCTTGTTGGCCACTTGTAACATGTCAATCAAAGTGCTTGTTGGCCACTTGTAACATGTCAATCAAAGTGCTTGTTGGCCACTTGTGACATGTCAATCAAAGTGCTTGTTGGCCACTTGTAACATGTCAATCAAAGTGCTTGTTGGCCACTTGTAACATGTCAATCAAAGTGCTTGTTGGCTACTTGTGGCCACTTGGTCATAAAGCTTAGTATGCAGTTGACATTGGCTTGTTTTCAGTTAAGAAAACTATCGATTACCAACTGTCATTTATAATTATTTAGTACTAAGACATTTTCTGTTTTTAAATGACAATGAAATGAATATATATGTTTTTGAAATAAAACTCATTTGGATTTTGTACTTGAAATGTTTATTAATGCAGACTTGTTCTCATCATTATATGGCTGGAATAATGCCGATGTGACGTAAAGCCCAACTCAACTCAACTCATTATTATGTTTTTTTAATTGAATTTATGTAATGATTGTGCAGGTGCATATGTAACTATTCTGATTTGTTTCTTCTATATAATGTCAAACACATTTTCACACATGTAACTGATTCAATTACATGATGATAAATACCTCCTTCTTGTATTATCATCATTATTGCTATTATTATGCTTCTGTTCAACACATTGTGTAGGTGTGATAACTTTAAGACATGATGCTTTTTAATTTTTGCCTATTTGAAAGCTCAATCACAGCAGTGTTTAGTAAACGCAATGACCAAGAAATGTTCTTTGGACAATTAAACCTGTTCTGCTTCCGATGTATATCTGTGGAAGGGCAGGGTTGGAGTTCTTAATGTGACTTAAGGAAGATGTACATCACTGCGCTCTGTAAGTGGATGCAAAGGAGAGCTTCCTAACAGCCAAATTATGGACAGCTCTATGTAGAAAACCAAACCAAACAAGACAATTATGGGAAGTAAATTAAATACTGCTGAAGTTTCAGCAAAGTTTTGGCTTCTCTGGCTCCTACTGGAGGCCTAATTAAGTTGTCATGGACATCTTGAAGAGATGCTTCTGATAATTTGAAAAATGAAAATGAGATTTTCCTGGGAGGATTTTTCATTGGATTGAAAGGGACTGGAATACAAGTGACAGGGAACCTCTCCAAGTTCTCTGTGAGGAATACCCTGGAAGAAATAGGCAGACAGGGGAAGATGGAATTACTTTTCAGAATAGAAGAACAAGTTGTGCTGCTGTATTGGAATGAGTGGATTCAGCTTGATGAATTGGATTTAATGAAGAATTAGTTAGTTCTGGTTGAGAAGAACTGCCATTTAATTCAAGTTTGTTCAGGCCTAAGTTCAGAAGGAGAATTTGAGAGCATTGAAAACGTTAAAAAGTTTCCAGGAAATGGAATTTCATATAAGTGCAAAACATGCAATTCTGGCCAGAATGTCAACAGGACTGTTTGAAGGTGAAATTGAAATAATCTGAAGATGTTTGAGGTGAGAGAAAAGATTTCCGCTGCTGTGAATCTCAATTGTAAGACGGTACAGCCTGACTGATGAAGAAGATGTTTCCTGGATTTCGTCATTTCTCAAATGTTACTTCAACCAAGTTAACCATGCAGATAGAAATGGATTCTTTGAAGCTGGGACAAAATTCACAAGCTCATCATGAAAATAGTTTCGAAAATTGCAACTTGAAGCGCTTGTGAGATGTTAAACAGGATGAATGATGAAGTTTAAACAGATGTTGTTGTAACAAGTATTTAGAGGATAAACACAGCGAAGGAGAGTCCGCAGGGGGCTGTTGGCCATTTGGATTATCAGTAATGGGAGCTTTAGCCCTGGAATGGAACACAGACTAGAATTCAAGTCAACTACACAAAGGCATTGTGTAAGTGGTGTATAAACTTAAATACTAGAAGACAAGAGGCTGGAGATTAGCAGGGGCAACTCTAAGAATGTCAAACGCGTTCTGTGAATGTCGAAGTGGGTTCACGTATTTGGAGTTGGAGACCCAGGTACTATTTCTGCATATTGGGACATCGTCTGCGACAGTCTCACTCATCATGGACAAGCCTAGCAGATAGAGGGACATCGTCTATGACAGGCATCCATCCTGATGGACAAGCTGACTTGAGTCTAAAGGTAAGTTTGTAATTGTTTGTTTGGGTTGTGTAACTATATTTAGTTATTGGATTTGGGGTTGAAACTTATTTTATTTTACTGGTAATGATGACTGAGAATTATAGAATGTTTTGAATTCATGTTATATATTTACAGGTGATCAATAAGAAAATGTTATGTTATTAGTACTTTTGTCGTAGTTGGTATCTGGTCTGAACATAATCTTGCCTACAGGAAATTTGGTGTGAATTTTGAATTCACTCAATACACAATCATACAATATACTCATCCATCCAATACACAAATCTGCATGCACAATCTACTTACTACATCCTTCTGTCCAATACACACATCTACTCCTATACCCAAATCTCCAAAGTACACAAATCTACTTCATACTCACATATGTTCAATACACAATTTATTGAATACACAAATCTACTGGTATCATGTAGCACATGTTATATTTGGAATTACACTTTGTCTGTAAAGTACAGATTCTAGTACTTTTCATGGCATTGTGTTTTCATGCTGGTATCATGGTTTTACCATTTGCTGCACCAAAATAAAATTGTTAATTATGAATGATATATGGCTTGTCATATTCAGAGTTTATTACCAGAACAATTTAGATCTCTTCAATCTCCAGGTTATCAACACAAGGTATGGGGCAGATTGTTTTGTGGATGGAATTATGTCAGGTCAACACCACTGGCCCCACACTGATAAACATGATGAAAAATGATGGGGGGGGTTTTAATATAAGGTGTTAGTTTAGACAAGGTGACATTTTGTGTGTTTTTTTTCTATTTATTATTATAAGGAATCCCTAGTTGGACAAAAATTGACTTGGCTGTGCATTTTGGAATATTTGTTGTCTGTTAAGTGGGTGTGCAGAGTATTGTGCAGTTGTTGCTCTGTACTTGTGACCCCATCGTGTTGACATTCGGCTGTTTATCACCTGCGGAAGAAACAGGCATCAACAAGTTAATTGCTCACAGGTGACAGATGATTGTTGTACCTGTAGATCCTGATTAGCTGTATCAGAACTTAAGGACACTGCTGGGACAAGCAACGATTGCTCCAGGTTGAGAGCAGTGTGATGATGGATAGTTAGTTGGATGATGATGATGATGATGATGATGATGATTGTGGTGGTGATTATGATGATGATGTTTATGGTTATTGATGATGATGATGATGATGATGGTGGTGGTGGTGGTGATGATGATGATGATGATGATGATGATGACGATGATGATGATGATGGTGGTGGTGGTGGTGGTGGTGGTGGTGGTGGTGGTGATGAGTATGATGATGGTGCATCTTCTCTATTGTCACCTCTCTGTATGGTGGGGAGGCTTTCAAGTTACTGCAAGAGTTACTTCCCCTGGTGTACAAAGTTATTGCCAAGCTAGGGACGGACTAGGTGGCACAGTTCAAGGCAAGTTTACACCAGAGCTATACTCAGACCATGTTGCAGCTGCAACTGACGAGGATGTGAGCTTATATACCGACTACACCACTCACAGAGCACTTGGTGCTGGATCTCAAACTACAGAGAGGATTTCCTGGTAATGGTACAGTATTAATTTTAGTCTTAAAGCTTGATTCTGTTGGCAGTGTTTGGCTTTCAAACATGATAAGGAGATTTTTGGTGTTTGTTTGGATTTTATGTTTGGTATTTATTGATTGTTGTTTTCAACGTGTTGTATGTCAGTGTTAGTAAATGATCTGATTAATCATGATATTTTAAAGGAAAACAGTGTTTGTTTTGTAGGGTTGATGTAAAAGTAGCCAGTAATGAAAACAAGTCAGGTTCAAGCAGCATTCAAGGAATCATTTTTAGTGGGAAACTATCCTGCACTTATTTACTTGTGTGTGTCAGTGTGCATGACCTTGGGCACAGCCAGGAAATAATTATTGTTTTTTTTTAAATATTACCAAATATGAGAAAGCATGGATATTAGGAGACTGTCACTCACCACTTTATATTTTAAAGAAAATATGTCTAGCTGTTGTCTGATAACTTTTCAAGGAATCTTTAAGGCCACTGCAAATTAATGTTCAGATTTTCATTCATATCTTTTTTTAAATGTGCCCGAGATAGCATTCAGATGTTGGCCCAACGTTGGCAATGGTTTTGCCAACATTGCCAATGTTGGGCCAATGTCTGAATGCTATCTGGGGCTATTGTATGTCATCTGTCTCAATCCCACAGAACCATGCTCATGATGTCAATCACTGGATTGCCTTGTCAACACTGTGTTGTTTACATACCACCGTCATACAGCTGAAATGTAGTTGGATGTGGTATTGGAAAAAATAATCTTAGACAGGAGGCATGTAAAAAAGAAATGTTAACAAATTGTTAAAGGATCTTGTGTTCATCAATGTCTGGTGGATGTGATTCACATGAGCATCTTGGAGTACTGTGTCCAAGATTGATCACTGGATTGTCTGGTCCAGACTCAATTGTTTACAGACCGCCACCACATAGCTGGAATATTG